TTTGTTTTAGGGAGCGGAGGCAGCCGCCGCAGGGCGAAGGGTTGCGGCCGATGGTGAGTGGCGTTCTGTCGGATGCGCGGGACCCTCTCCTCCATCCGCACCCAAGCTCCGCGTCCTCCTCACGTGCGCCAGCCCCTCCCCCGATGGATGGCTGCCGCCTGCATGCTGACCCCAGGCCGCACCCTCCGTCCCGGTCCCTCGGACCCTCGCACCCTCCAGGCCCCCTCTCCCCTGGACCCTCACGGTCGCTCCCGCTAGCCTGGGTCGGGATGGACGGTTCTGAAGTGCAGAAGGTTTCTTAGTGGCTAATTAATTTGCTTTATAGCCTGGGATGTGGATGAGGTTTTGTTTGGTAAAATAACCGCGTCCCAGACTGCCCTGGAAGTCCTGGGTTCTTAAGGTCCTTCACCATAACCCGGACTACCGTCAGGGCCACCATACAGGGTTTTAAGTCGCTTGCACGGTCTTGGCGGTCGCGCACAGACCCTTGCAGCATCCTCCACAATTGAAGCTGTTTCCTGTCAAAGTGAAGGTGCCCTGTTCCACATAACCCAGCTTCTCTGCTGATGCTCTCTTATTGTTACTTTGCAAAAGCCCCTTTTAATGGGTGACAACTTCTCTAACGCGGCATTTCCTTGTTTAATTTTTATTTTATGTGTATTTATGTGTATCTGTATAGTACGCGCATGCCTGGTGCCAACGGAAGCTGGAAGCTAGAAGAGGGCACCGGGTCTCCTGGAACTGGCTGTGAGCAGCCACGTAGGTGCTGGGAATCGAATATGGGTCCTCTGGAAAAATAACATGTGTTCTTAACCAAGAAGCCATCTTTCTGGTTCCCGCATTTAAATTTTCTCAGAAAGTGATATGGTTAACAGAAAGGGCGAGGATGGTTCAGTTGAACACCTGAATCCGGATCACCAGAATTCACTTTTTAAAAAACGAATGCTGTTATCCCTAGCTCCCTGGAGGAGACAGCAGATCCCTGGAGCTCACTAACTTACATGAGTTCCAGCCTAATAAGAGACCCTGTTGCCCCCCAGAAGGGGAAAGGCTTCTGTTGAATGACACCCAAGGTTGTCCTCTGGCCTCCCTCCAAGTGCTTGCCGGTGTGTGGGTACACACAGAGGGAAAATATAGACAATAATTCCCTTGTATGTGGAAGGTGAAGAATTCTCTAAGGCCAGAGGACATTGGATGTAGAGCGCACTGAGCTGTCTCCCCAGCCCAGAAGAATTCTTTTAAATGTCTGCAGTGCCCTGTCAGTGAATGCGCGATGACAGCGGAAGCGGTTTCCTGTGTGTCTTCCTAAAATAATTGGAAGCAGGTACTACTGCTGGTGCATGTCCGCACTTTTTTATTATTAATAGAAAAGGAAAGCTCCGGGGCTGGAGAGATGGCTCGGAGGTTAAGAGCACTGGTTGCTCTTCCAGAGGACCTGAGTTCAATACCACGTGGTGGCTCACAAACCATCTGTAATGAGATCTGGTGCCCTCTTCTGGCCTGCAGGCCTGCATACAGAGCACTCATACATAATATAAATAAATAAAAGGAAAGGAAAGCTCCACTGTGCTCTACCACCTGCTAGATAGGCGTTTCTTTAAAGCTGTGTGGACATCAGTTCTGTCACTTTGCACACTGGGAATTTTCTTGTGGGGGACACAGAGAAGCAGAATGTGGTTACTAGGAAGCCACCTTGCCACCATATGTGGAGCCAGTCAGTTCCTGGGGCATTCTTGACATAAAGATGTTTCCATTTCCATTCCCAATTATTACTGGTGAGGGAAAAACCTCTGCATTTGTCTTTTAGCTGTTTGTATTCCCATTCAGATTAACCAGCAGGTGTTCTGTTTTGTTTTTTGTTTGTTTTTGTTTCGAGACAGGGTTTCTCTGTGTATCTTAGGAGCCTGTCTGGAATTCGATCTGTAGACCAGGTTGGCCTTGAACTCTCTGGGATCCTCCTGCCTCTGCCTCTGCCTCCCTAGTGCTGGATTTAAAGGCGTGCACCACCAACAACCAGATGTTGTTTTTGTTTTATGGGCAAATAATTTCCATTAAAGTATTTTGGCTTTTTGCTATGTTTTAAAGGGCTTCCTTATTTCAAGATTATTTTTTAGATAATCTGGTTTTCTCCGGTACTCTTTTTAAAATAATGTATTTATTTTTATGTGCATTGGTGTTTTGTCTGCATGTATGTCTGTGTGAGGGTGTTGATCTCCTGGAATTGGAGATACAGACAGTTGTGAGCTGCCATGTGGATGCTGGGAATTGACCCAGATCTTCTGGAAGAGCAGCCAGTGCTTTTAACCACTGAGCCACCTCTTCAGTCCCTTGTCTGGTAATTGTAAAACATTGTTTCTATGTGGAATTTACTTAGATAGGGGGTGAAGTTAGAATATAGCTTCAATTTTCCCCCTAAATCATAACCATTGCTAACAGTGTCCACTATATCAAATAATTTATCTTTCGGTTTACTTGAAAATGCACCTGTGTCATATATTAAATTCTTCCCTATGTTTCGGGCTATTTGGAGAGGGTTGTTGTTAGATTTATTTTATTTTGTGTGTATGGGTGTTTTGTCTGAATGCATGTGTATAGTGCCTGAGGAGGGCAGAAGAGGGCATCAGGTCCCCTAGAACTGGAGTTACAGATGGTTGTGAGCCTCCATGTGGGTGCTGGGATTTGAAGAGTAGCCATCTCCTCAATCCCTCTTTTGAGTCTTTGGGGGTGATTTTGATGTGCATAAGGTTTCTTGCTAGTTGATTAATTCTGGTTTGACTTGGTGTGTGGATGAGCTTTTGTTTGGTAAAATAAACTCAATCTTTAGAACAAAAACAAGTTTGTTTAACACACTGTTATAGTCCGTTGTTATTTACTCTTAGCTCTTTGGCTCTTTTGTTCTTTGGGGGACCTGCCACCCAACTCCCAAATGAATCACACATGGAGGCTTATTCTTAATTATAAACGCTGGGCCTTAGCTGCCTTGTTTCTGCCCAGTTTTTTTTTTGGGGGGGGGGGGGGGGGGGTCGAGACAGGGTTTCTCTGTGACTTTGGAGGCTTTCCTGGAACTAGCTCTTGTAGACCAGGCTGGTCTCCTGGCCTCAAACTCACAGAGATCCATCTGCCTCTGCCTCTTAAGTTCTGGGATTAAAGGCATGCGCCACCAACGCCCAGCTAGCCAGCTTTTAACTTAAATTATGACCTCCCCCTTTGCCTCTGGGCTTTTACCTTTCTTTATCTTACTTTCACTCTTACTCTGGGTGGCAGGCCCCTGAAGTCCTCCTCTTCTTGTTCTGTTTGTTCCTTCCCTTCTTCCCACATTTCTCCTCCGGTTTATTCTCTCTGCTTGCCCCTCCCCCCACCCCCCATCCTTTCTCCTGCCTCACTATTGGCCATTTAGCTCTTTATTAGACCATAAGGTGTTTCAGACAGGCAAAAAATCACAGCTTCACAGAGTTAAACAAATGCAACATAAACAAAAGCAACACATTTTTACATCATTAAACAACTATTCCACAGCATAAACAAATGTAACACATCTGAAAACAATATTCCACAACACACTGCAAAGCACGGGTAAGCATGGCAGGAAAGGAACTGCTGGAATATACTGGCAGACTGTGAACAGCTAGATTGGTCAGTGATGGTCCTGGCTGGTTAGAATGAGTCACATTGTAATTTCTCACTGTGCAAATAAGGACAATCTGGGATAGAATTGCAGGTAATGTCATTTGGCTATTGTTCCATCCTTTGGCAGAATGGAGCCGTGGCTTTCAGGTTTGAGGATGTTTTCTGGTTCAGGCTTTTACTGAAAATGTTCCTGTTCTCTCACTCGACTTTCCCTCACAGTGTTTGTTTGGTTTTCATTTGAGACACGATCCCTGTGTAGCCCCAGCTGGCCCAGAACTCTTCACATCCCCCTGCCTCAGCCTCCTCAGTGCTGGGATTACAGGTCTCCACCTCCATTACAGCTTGATGTGTTTTCTTTTAAATTTTTTTTAAATCTCTTGTCTTCGCCCAATTTGTGATAGTTTGTTGAAGAGTGTATGAAAATTTAATTTTAATTTTTACCAAAACACTTATTAGTTAATCATCCTTTTTTCCAGAAATTTGAGTCTCTCCTCCAAACTGTTCTCTGCTGTTTCTGTTTCTGAGCTGTTTATTCTTCCCCTACCTACCCTATTTCCTGTGTTTTGTTTTGTTTGAGACAGTTGTGCTATGTAGCATATATAACAGCTTATATAGAGAACATATAGAACTAACTCACTAGGTAGCCTCATGTTAGCAGTCTGCCCAGCTCAGCTTTCCAAGGGCTAGGATCACAGGTGTGTGCCAACACACCTGGCTGTATCTAAGCTGTCCATTCTTGCCTGGGCCCATGTAACTCTTATTAACTTGTTTGGCCCTGTGGCTTGGTGACACTCCTTTCCTAGTGCCTCTGAGATGTCCCTGTGTTTGTTGAGTCTTCCAAATGAATATGAAAGCATTTAGTTCTGAGACCCTGTACCCCTATAATCCTCCACAAAAATGTTGATTGATGTTGTCAATAAAGTGTACAAATTAGCATTACTGTGAGTTGTGGTGTCTGTTCTTTCATGTCTTGGACCAAGTGTCACTTGGTGTGTAGGAAAGCTATAGATAGATAGATACATAGATAGATAGATAGATAGATAGATAGATAGATAGATAGATAGATAGATAGATAGATCTGTATAATCATTTACTTAGGGAAAATTGCAAGTATTGTGTTTTTGTACTCACAGGTAGCTTTTTATGCAGAAGCTGCTTCTGCCCTAGAAAGCCTATTATGAATTTGAAAAGAAAGCGGTTTTATAAAAGTTGAATAAGGGGTTTTGCCAGGCGTTGGTGGCACATGCCTTTAATCCCAGCACTCGGGAGGCAGAGGCAGATGGATTTCTGAGTTCAAGACCAGCCTGGTCTACAGAGCAATTTCCAGAAGAGCGAGGACTACCCTGTCTCCAAAAACAATAACAAACAAACAAAAAAAGATAAACCTAAATTCTAAATTCTTCATGCATGATGAGAGCAGTTCCCC